ACACGCTTAATGGAAAAATAAAAAAAATCCCTGGAATACGGAAGCGTTTGAATTTTTTCAATTTTGTACTTGATACTCTTTTCGAACACTTGGTGTATAATGACAGAATAACTCCCGACGAGTTTTGAACGAGGAATCTTAAACAGGAAGATCGCATCTTCCAAGCACTTTATTCCGATTGAAAATCCATTCATTTTCTAGAAAGATATGGCAGTTAGAGGATTGTCAAATATTTCAGTGGTTTTTTTTTTTTTTTTATCGATTGGAGCGCACGAAAGGGATTCCCTATAATGTTCAAAGAACATCGTGCGTTCCCTAGGGAGGATAGGGACAGGAGGTAGGTATTGGAATTTTTTTTGAATTTTTGGAGATTATATGTTGTTGGGAATACTTCCACAGGCAATGAATTCCAGAGCCTAGCACTTTATTCACTATGGTCCCTTCTTGCAACTTTGACGTGTTTGTCATCTCAATGGAAGGAAGGAATGCTTGAAGCCATTTCCACAAATTTTGATGATGTAACATGTTTCGGTCTTATAAAAGACCATCTTCAGACTAATTGAAAGTTCTACAATACAGAAACAAAATGAAAGTTGAATTGAAAGAATTACCTAATTTGTGCTTGACTTACTTGATGCTACTGTTTCTTGAAAATACCTAATGAAAAAACATGGAAATGTTTTTATGAAAACGAAGAATTTTTGCCAAAAAAAAAGTTTCAGCAACTTTTAAAAAATTCGCATTTTCGAAAAACACCTTGTAACTCTGAAATGAAGATAGATATCGATATGCGGTTTTCACCATTGAGTTTTTCATGTGAATTGATCAGCAGGCACCGACATCAGTTTTTTTCTATCTTGTACGGGAATAGGACTTTCCCTTTAAAAGTGCCCAATTTGACCCACCCTGTACAATCCACTTTTTTCTGCATTCCCTAGAAATATTTTTGTTTTCAAAGGGGAAATTTTTAATAATACTCATTATATAAAAAAGACAATTCGAAAATTATATATCCTGAAATGAAACTGATGCATCAGGAATTTGAATTCTAAACAACCAAATTCTAGGAAAGTCTCCTAATTCCCAATAATTTGAGTGGAGCCTGATGGATCATTATGCAAATAATACGTTCCATTTGTTGCAACAATTCTAACCACGAGTTCTGATTGAATAAATTATTCAAACGTAAACTGGATAAAAGGTCTATAGATATCCTATCAATCCATTCTCTATAATGTGCATTTTCATCAACACTGATTAGTTTCATCCAAGGAGACATTTGAGAATGGCTATGACCCAATTCTGGATTATTGATCATTATAAATTACAGTTTTAAATAAATGCATTAGCTCATCATGATATCCGCATCATCATTCAGTAATAGCAGGTTATGAAATGGAAATATATTTAGACGCCATCTAGTGGCCAGATCGAAGGTATCTCCGTTCCTACTCATGTTTTTTTACGTATGTATCAATTATTCAACGAAATGTTATGATGTAGATTTACCCGAGGATTTACCCTAAGCAGTTATGAAATCATCATCAGTCATACGTTCAATTTCTTTAATTCACGAATCAAAATAAGTATGTATGTATGTTGGACGATATGAGTCGAGGTATGAGTGCTTATTGCAGCGGTGATCAAGAGAGCTGACACCGGCCATGTGTGACGTGTTCTCTGAAGACGACTGTACATCAAATAAATCGAAGACTGGAACTTTGGCACCATAATCATATAATCACAATACACTGTTTTAACACACCTATCTGGGTTCACAAGTTATTACTTATCCTAAAATTCGTAAATAATTAAACTGTACAGAGAGCTATACAGGGTGTTTCCTAATTGAATGTCAATATTTGAGGAGGCGATTCTTGGGCCCATTTTAAGAAGAAAATTTCATATGAACGTATGACCTAAACGTCTTAACTTTTGAGATACAGGGTGGTAAAGTTCTCAAAAATAAATAGTTTTTTATTAATATCTGTAATACCACTTTAAATATTCTAATGAAATTTGGTATACGTGTACTAGGTATCAAGAGGCATCAGTTAGTGTACCACATTTTTTTTTGTTGCCACCAGTGGCGTTCGTATGGAATTTCACATACCTATTTTGGCAGACATTGATGGTACGCCACTGATTAATCTCGAAATTGAATTCATTCCTGAAATTCTCAATCATTTCTAAGCAAATTTGATCTCTACAATTTTTTCAATCTGATGCACGGTTTTCGCTTAAAAAAATAAAAACCTTTTCACTGCATGATCATAACAATATCGTTAATATGACAATACCACAATGCAGAGAAATAGATTTTATTTTTTAGGTGAAAACCGTGATTCGGACCGAAACAATTCAAGAGATCAAATCTGCTCATTATTTTAAGAAAAGTCGATGGCATGCCACTTACTGTCTAAGTACAGATAATAGGTTAATTGGGTGGCCACTGGTTAATTTCAATAATTTGTTTTTGTGAAAGATGTCAAGAAAATATCTAGTCTTTAGTCACCAATTAGTGACCACAACCACACTATGTACCTAAATGATTTTGTTAGAAGACTGTTCTTTTCTTTTACACATTTAATGGAATAACATAACATTCTTCAACAACAAAAGATAACTAATAAACGATTCTTATTTAAAAACAATACCTACTATTAATAATTTTAACAAAATTATAGAACATAGAAACTAGATGAGTTGTTGAAAATGGCCTCCACCTTGAAGGATACACGCTTCAGCTCTTTTCCTCATATTGTCACGCACTCTTTGAAGTATACCTCCAGTATTTCTTATTAAATCGAATGCAGCTCTTATACGATCCTTCAGCTCTTCTAGAGTGTTCACTGGGTTGCGATAAACCAGACTTTTAAGATGCCCCCATAAGAAAAAGTCCAAACTATTCAAATCTGGGGACCTAGGGGGCCATGGTTGAGGTCCGCCACGACCTACCCATCGATTTTCAAATGTGTGATTTAAATATTCCCTTGCTGCAACACTGAAGTGAGCGGGCGCGCCGTCATGCATGAACCACATTCTGTTTCTAATTAAAACTGGTACTTCTTCTAGCAATATGAACAATTCCTCCTCTAGAAACCGGCGATAATTATGGCCGTTTAGCCTTTCTGGCAAGAAAAAAGGTCCAATTAAGTAATTTCCAACAATTGCAGCCCAGACATTCACCGAAAATTGTTCTTGATGGTTGAATTCTACAACTGCGTGAGGGTTTTCGTCTGCCCAAATATGGTTATTGTGAAAATTTCTGATTGCGTTTCTGGAAAAGTTAGCTTCATCTGTAAACATTATTTCACGGTCAAACAAGGGATTATGAGCAATTTTCTCCAGAAACCATTGACAAAAATTAACACGCAAGGGAAAGTCTCGGGGAAGTAACGCTTGGACCCGTTGAATATGGTATGGGTATAATAGAAAATCGTGCAAAATTCTCCAAACTAGGACGTGCGAGATATTCAGATTATTTCCAATTTTTCTAGTACTCAGTTCAGGATTTTCTTCAATGGAATTTAAAACTGCTTCTTCAATTTCTGGAGTTCTTACAGTGCAATGGGCTCCTTTTAATTGATTATTCGCCTGCAAAGTACCTGTTTCAGTCAACCTCCTATGTACATTTGCAAATGTTCGCCTATCTGGTATTACTCTATTAGGGAACCGCTCTCGATACAATCGCTTAGCTTCCGGCGATCTGCCATCAGCCAAACCATACATGTAATGCATATCTGCCAACTCCTCATTTGTAAACTCGACCATTATTTTTCAAAATAACAATGCTCGAATATTTTAAACACTAAATTAATAAGACGCGAAAAACTGAATTTGAAAATTGACGAACTGTCATACAAAATAATGACAACTGTCTTGACCATAGAATTAATAATTCTTACAGACACAGCCTACTACAATGAAAAGTAATAATTTCAAAATACCAAGTACGAATACGAAGTTCATAAACTATGAATTGTATTTCTGAAATTTGACCTAAAAAATAAAATCTATTTCTCTGCATTGTGATATTGTCATATTAAGGATATTGTTATGATCATGCAGTGAAAAGGTTTTTATTTTTTTTAAGCGAAAACCCTGCATCAGATTGAAAAAATTGTAGAGATCAAATTTGCTTAGAAATGATTGAGAATCTCAAGAATTATTTCAATTTCGAGATTAATCAGTGGCGTACCATCAATGTCTGCCAAAATAGGTATGTGAAATTCCATACGAACGCCACTGGTGGCAACAAGAAAAAATGTGGTACACTAACTGATGCCTCTTGATACCTAGTACACGTATACCAAATTTCATTAGAATATTTAAAGTGGTATTACAGATATTAATAAAAAACTATTTATTTTTGAGAACTTTACCACCCTGTATCTCAAAAGTTAAGACGTTTAGGTCATACGTTCATATGAAATTTTCTTCTTAAAATGGGCCCAAGAATCGCCTCCTCAAATATTGACATTCAATTAGGAAACACCCTGTATATGGACTATGTGTGTGTAATGATTGTGATCAAAATGTGTTCGGCTACACTGGATTCACCTCGGGATTCACCTAATCTACCGGTTGTCGAATGGGCGAGGTGTTCTTTGAACCTTGTTTTTATGGGTCACCTAGTTTGTCCTACATATGTTTTATGCAAATCATTACAACCAACTTCGTGAATTCCTGATTTTTCAAGTGTATCCACTCTTTCTTTTGGATTACCTAATTAATTTTCTGATTTTCTCTAAAACTATTATCTAATGCCTCTTGTATACTTGGGTTGAAGAAGATTGGGATTCTTCTCAAATTGTTTCCATTCAATGGAATTCCCATGAAAATGTGTTCCAAATTACAGCACTGTATTTTTGATTCTATATTTCGGAACACAGATTCTCAGCAGAGTCAGTGGAGCTACTGACAGTATATACTGACCAGTTGAATTCGGACTATAGCTTGAATCAAAGCATAACACTACCCTCCGCCTTTTTTCCCAGGCATGCCCTTGACCGGCCAGATGCTGCCCGGCACCCTGCCCTTCTACCCCTCGCTGCCCGCCATCGACAGCGAGCACGAGGACCACTTGGGCGGCCCGCTCGACACCATCAGCGAGCTGCGCGAGCCGCCCCACCAGCCGCGCGGCGTCATCCGGCCGCTGGGGCGGACGCAGTCGTCGCCGCTGCCGCTCGGCCACCCGCTGCTGGTGGGCGGGCCGCGGCCGCCCGAGCCGGAAGGGCGGCCGCCAGCGCTGCTGCTGCTGCAGACGGTCGAGGAGCAGGAGCAGCGCGACCTCGAGCTGAGGGCCAACGAGTCGAGGAGGTGAGTCCGAAAGAATATACAGGGTGATCCGAATATTATTCAAATATGTGATTTGATGGGGAAATACGAACCGAAAATGCTCGGTCAGCAAGGTGGGTCACGGTGGATTGCCTATTAGAAGTATCTTGAGAACGAAAAAAACAGAACTTTCTGAAAATTAGGACGCTTCGAAAATTCTCTATTCGTCTAAAATGTTTTCATCGATACATTGTTGCCACTTCTATCAGAAACAACTAGCAACTTTCATTTTGAATGGAGCATCCTGTATTTTATTGCATTTTCAGATTCTTCCTAAAGAGCAGATTTTATCAATGCATCACACTTGGGATCTAGCAGGAAAGATTACAGAGATATTGGTTGTTCAAAATCGAGATTTTTCAATTTTGGGATTTTTTTGTGTCGAAACTATTCATTATCGATCAAAACGGTTTACATATACCTATCTTAACTTTCGATCCACTTTATCTACTGACATTTAATTGGAACAGATACAGGGTTATCAGAATTCTGAATCTTGAAGCACCCTATATTTTTTCCAATTAAATACCAGTAGATAGTGAATCAAAAGTTGAAATAGGAACATGTATGCCGTTTTGATCAATAATGAATAGTTTGGACACAAAAAAATCCTTAAATTGAAAAATCTTGATTCTGAATACCCTATATCTCTGTAATCGTTTCTGCTTGACCCCAAGTATGATACATCGATGAAATCAGCTCCTCAGGAAGAATCTAAAAATGCAATAAAATACAGGGTGTTCCATTTGAAATAACAAAGTTGCTAGTTGTTTCTGATAGAAGTGGCAACACTGTATCGATGAAAACATTTTAGACGAATAGACAATGTTCAATTATCAAAGCATCCCAATTTTCAGAATGTTCTGTTTTTTCGTTCTCCAGATACTTCTAATAGGCCATCCACCGTGACCCACCCTGTATATCTATATGAGATATTCGAATATGCAATTTGAAGAGAAAATATGAATCAGAAATGCTCGGTCAGCAAGGATTTTTGAAAAACTGCGAGAATAAACTACCCCTCTCAAGGGGTGTATCGAGATAATTCCACTGATGCCATCTCAAATCTATATACCGGGTGGCTACGGAAGTATTGCCTACAGAATATCTCACTTATTGTATGAAGTAGGTTTGTGAAATTTGGAGCGTCGATATAATGACATAAGAGCTAGAATGTGAGCATATTGACATGTCGAAGTTGACTTCCGGTCTGACCGAAAGATACATCAACTTTCTTATTTCTTTTCACTTTATTCAGCATTCAATTCCCTTTCTAATGACATATCACAAGTTGGTATCTAATCAGAAACTAGATCAGAAAAAAATTATTATTGAAATTCACCGAGTAGTATTTTTGAAAAACTGCAAGAATAAACTACCCCTCTGAAGGTGTGGATCGACATTAATCCACTGGTGGCAAATCTATATGAGATACCCAAATATGCAATTTGATGGAAAAATACGGACCAGAAATGCTCGGTCAGCAAATATTTTCGAAAAACAGCACGAATAAACTACCCCTCTGAAGGGGTGGATCGAAATAATTCCACTGGTGGCATCTATAAATCTATATGAGATATCCGAATACGTAATTCCATGAAAAAATACGGACCAGGAACGCTCGGTCAGCAGGGATTTTTGAAAAACTGCAGAAATAAACTACCCCTCTGAAGGGGTGGATCCTCGGGTGGATCGAAATTATTTTACTGGTGGCATCTTCATATTCATATAGAAAATCCAAATATGCATTTTGAAGTAAAAATTCGAACCAGAAATGCTTGGTCAGCATACTTTAATAATTTTGGTCAGCAAATTATATTTCCCCAAAGTAGCCAAGTATTAGACGTAATAAACTACATACAAGGTGTTTCTGAAATAAGTGGTTTTTTCTAATTCTCCTAATTAACGAAAAATTTCATCCCAAAAATTGAACAAAATACGAGAAGAGAAGTCAAATAAGCCACTTTAAATGATTGAACTGCGCGTGATTGTGCCTACCACATGGAAACTTGGAACAGAGGTGACATCAGATTTGCTACAGTGTAGAACTTTGGGTAGAAAGAGGAGTCTAACCTCAAATTTTATTTTGATCCCTATATTTTTTTATTAGTGCCATTCGATAGTACACGTCGAGCTTTCTCAGTGTTTGAAATATTGCACTTGTTTTAATGCCACCCTGTATATTCATTTTTTGAATGTGTGGTTATCAATGATTCATTTAAAATGCCTATAACACTGACAGACATGTTATATTGATGTTCATTATACAGTTCTGTACAGTATGTGACCAAATGATCCAAAAATTTTAATATTCTTTCTACACAAAAACACTTATTGAAAAAGCCAGAGTTTATATAACATTTATCCTTTTAAAGAAATCAAATTTATAATTCAATGGGAGCAAAGGTTTACAATTTTTATTTTCCTCGTCATGGAATGGAGTGGTTTGATAATTATGATTCTAAATATAGACAAACGCGTTTATGTTCAAGCCTTGAAGCACGAACTACAGGGCTGTACCTAAATAATTTCATGTTCCCATAATTAATCAATACATTAGATAAGTGGTTAGTACAAAAATTCATCATCGTCTTGCTACCATTTATAAATAAATTTGAATCCTTTTATAAATGATAATATGGTAAAAAAAAACAATAATGAATATCAAATGACTATAAATGGAATGGAATTATGATATATCGGATAAGTCAAACCCTGTCCTCTTCCTACAGAATACAGATATATATCGACATTAAAGCTACTGTTTTAATAATTGCTGCACACTAACAGGTCATCCCTGTCTAAAAATAGACTAAATTGACTTCCTTTGTCTGCCTTCCTACATAGGCGAATTGACTGGTGGCCACTTGTCATTTCAGTGGCGAACCTAGAGGGGGAGGCTACCAATTATTTATTCCCAACCAAAAACAGATGTAAAGATACTAGATACTATGTGATTTCAATAGTGACCAAACTGAGCGACAAAACAGCTGATTGAAAAACAAGGTTTTTGAAGTCTCTACTCAGATGTTGACCCTCCTATAGGTCGTAACTTAGCTCCTCGCTTGTCTTTTTGACGAGAGGTTTTGATCATTTCACCACCCAACCCCATTCATCCCCATTCAAGACAGTTTTCATATAAAATTTGACATTTATTGATTAAATGGAAAAATTGTGAATAAATGCTTGCCACATGGCAGGTTAGCAAAGGAAAAAGAACATAATGGGTTGCCAAATGAAACACAACGCAAAACCACACTTGAAAAAAAAACAGTACTTACATTACAACGTCTAGCATGTGGTTGATCAGCAGGATTGAAGTCGATTAGACGGCGAACATTTTCAATTGATAATTACTAATGACTTGTGTCAGAAAACAGGGATTACAATCGTGTCAGAAACTTGGAAAGGCGAACCCGTTAACGGAAAATCTTCGATGAAATCCATATTTTTGATTTAAATGCAGATTCCGTAAGTTATAGCATAAACAATGAATGCACGCGGTGTATGTTTGGTTCCCTATAAAACAATCGTGCATTAATAGACAAATCGTTCATTAATAGGGGTCATTAATGAACGATTTCATATACATTAAACTTAATACGAGGTCGACGGAAAATAACTATTTTTTAATCCAAAACATGAGCTGTCTTTCAATTCTGATTGGTCTGATATCGTTCATGTTTTCCAACGATGTATCCATATGGAAAGCAAATCAAAATCTGGATGTAACCATAGATAGCAAAGCAAAGTCTGTCAGTTTGGCATGAAATAATTATGGCTGTACTTGTCAGAATGAATCACTCATTTATAATATATCAAAATTGGTTTCAAATTCTCATCGTGCATGTGTTCAATAGATATAATACAATGTTCGTCGTGGCATATAGCCAGAAAAGTAGTTGTCTTCTGTTGAATCAATCGAGAAAGAATTGATATTTTCATCACATAGAGAATGCGAATTCTCAATGTATTTCTTTATATACAGTGTGTTTGATTTCAACCCGCAACACCATAATATAGTACTCAATGAGCTCTATTCGAAAATGTTGCTGAATGGGTCAAAAATTAAAAAACGGCTATTAGGCAATTTTTCGTCGAAACAGTGACTAGCTCATTCGATTCAAGCATATCTTAAATACCCACATACGATTGAATGCAAAATCTCATATAGGGTGTTAGTTATTCAATGGCAAATTTTGATATTTTTGATTTTTCGGTTCAACCTGTTTCAAAATCTGAGAAATCAATATAGCTGTGAAGTAGTCATTCCCGCTAGACCCCTAATGTAATTGAAAGATGAAATCAGCTCTTTAGAAAGAATCTGAAAATGGAATAATATACAGGGTGTCCCATTTAAGAAATCAAAGTTGTTGCTACTTTTCAATATAAGCGGCAACGTCGCAAAACTAACAATATTTTTGGTCGATAGAACACAACTAATTATATGAGAAACCAAATCTTCAGTATAATCCTACCTTGCGTTCTCCAAAAGTCTGTCATCCACCGTGAATCAGCCTGTATATATCCATTTTTTTCCATGTTCATAATTTATCTGAGAATAATCCATTTCAATATTTTCTATTTTGTCATTCCTCTTTCTGGATCGGGTTGCCATGCCGTGTCCCCTCCCCCCGCTCGAGAGGGTTTTCCCACAGGGTTTCTGGATGCTATTTTCGGATGCCTGCAAGGTGGTCGCTTTACACTTTATCGATTCGCGGCTATTTTTAGACAGGAAAACGTGCGAAGGCTGGGACGCGTGTAAGTATTAGCGGCCACTTTCTGGGACCCGAATCGGTGTTGCCAACTCAGATTTCCAAAAGTCGCAAAATGGCCACTTGAAAAACACCAAAAAACAACAAAGCTGACGGAATCGAGAAAAAAATGCACCTCAGGCGAATTTTTTTGCGAAGCTAGTGATTTTCTGGTGGTTTTAACTTCAGTTTAGTTCTCTAGATAACACCAGATGATATAAGTCTAGC